TTCCTGCCTAGCAAATATTACTTGAACAAGCAGAGTCTTAAGATCAAATAGTCATTGGGCTTTACTTCAGTGATTCATTCTCATTTTCATAAGTACATTCCAGTGAAAGTCTCTGAATTTTTCTATCTCTGATGTAAGTATGTTACAACTAATCACTTTTAAATCATGTGCACATTAAAGAGTTTCGGATACTGTTAGTTGGGGGCTGATTTACACAGACTCTTGGTTTCTCTTTTTCTAGATTTCTGAACTTTTCCCCATCTCAAATCAACGTGAAGCTTTCATCATTGCCTTTGCAGAAGAAATTAGTTAAATATGCATTAGTTCATTTTCCCCCCAACTTTGGAGGAAATAAATTTGAAGGGGGAAGAAACTAACCCTTAAATGTTTTGGATAAGTGGCCATTTTGTTTGCTAGGCCAAAAGCCAGGAGGTAGAATTGAATTCACCGTAATAGTAATAAGAAGTGTTTTGAAAATCCCCCATTAATCCAGTGGGACTCTCTTCCCCTCAGTGTCCTCTCAGATTGCTAGCATGGAGGTGAGAGAGGGGAGAAGACAGTTCTCTGCATGCTCAGTGATCTGGCCACCACCTGGTGTCCACCAGTCTGTTCCCTTTTGGCTTGTGTTCTGCAAAGTCTTGTTAGCTGCCAGGGCTGCCAATGCCTGATGCCCCTTCAGCATTTTTTCCTTTCTACTAACCTGGCCTGTAGGCCCCTTTTGCAGAACATTATTACCTGAGTTATGTAAGGCAACATTGTGCTATTAATGGCATATTAGAATTATAATAATTAAATTAAAACAACTCTATTAGCTTCTATTGACCTCTAACTGCTCCTCTAGAGGGAGGGCTGAAGGGTACTCTGAAGGACAAAGGCCTTTCTGTGTGACCTGGCCCGACTTGTATTTCTGGATTCTTGTTCCATTGGAGAAAGCTTTTTTCCAGGAGACTCCAAGATGCTCTAAAAAAAAATTCTCTCTGGGTAGTTGTTTTTGTTCTCTGGGAATATCTGAATAAAGGGCGGAACAATATGGAACCTTACTGTTAATGCTACCATTATCTTTTATTACCGAAAGGAATTTATCTACAGATATAATGTTTTACTCCTCTAGTATGTAGCTTCTTTCATTTATTCAATGACATTTACTACGTTCCAGGCATATTTCTAGTCAGTGTTTGTCAACTGGGATGATTGTATCCAATTGCATCTCTACTAGAGAATCTTGACAATTTCACCTTCCAAATATGCTCCAAATTTTCAGTACTTCCACTTCTAACATATAAAACAGTGTATCACCTCAGGTTGGATCATGACAATAGCCTCGTAATAGATCTCTTGGCTGCTACATTGTGTCGTACTATCTATTTTTCCTACAATAGCCAGGGTAATCCTCAAAAAATGAGAATCATACCATGACCCTCCCCTTCAATGGCTTCTCATTGCACTTAATTAAGCCTTAGCATCACATTCTGTGATTGTTAATCAAACAATCTTTCCCTCTGCTCATTTAGCTCCTGATAAAATCGGACTGCTATATTACATATGTCAATCAATCTCTCTCTCTCTCTCTCTCTCTCTCTCTCTCTCTCTCTCTCTTTCTTTCTCACATTATTTGGACAAAAGTGGGAAAGCTTTCACATCAAAAACGTGTAGGTTGGCTGCTTACTCATGGTTCTAACCTACAGACTTACCTTTATCATCAGACTTTGAAAGACCTGTGATTTAGAATGGATAATAAGTAGACATTTGATCTGGGAGTCCTTCGTTCTAAGTTATATACCAGTCTTTATTTCTTTGGGCTTAGTATTTGTGAAACAGTTATAAGAGTTTGGATAAAAACATAAATGGTCAGGAAATACAAGGTAAGACCTTGGAACACGTGTGTGTCACTATCCCTTTGGCTTTCTGACCAGCCTAGTCCAAAGTTTAAGGGATCTTAGATGGTCCATCTCTCGTAGGGTCTGAGGATCTATGAATCATAGGTTTTCCTTTTCTGTTTATATTTGGCCCATCATTCTCTAATTCCTGTCCCCTAGAATTAAAATAGAAAATATGTTAAAGGATTTTTAAAAAAAATAAAAAACTATAATCATAGATCCAGCTATTGCATTATCTAGGTGAAACATTAATGGAGACAGTGCTTACTGGAACATTTCAGACTTTGTCCCCTGATACTGAATTTGCAAAATTATTACCTTTAAAACTAAGCTCATACTTAATACTTTCATTTCCTTTTTTGCACTACCCTTTGAGTCTCTTTGTATCCTGAGTGGAAATTTTCAAGAATCACAGGCCTAGGACCTCATCAGTTCAAACTTTGCAAAATACAGGGTGGGGCAAAAGTAGTTTTACAGTTGTTCACATGAAACTAATACAATAATTAATAAATAATAATACAAGAATAAACTGTGTTTCACATACAACTATAAACCTACTCTTGCCCCACCCTGTACATTGGTTCAGAGAAAAAGGAGATATTTAACCCCTCAAACAACATCATTTTTCACATGGTATGTTCCCTTGAAGGTCATATTATATGACAAGAACATGACGTCTGTTATTGTATAGAAAATGGAAAACTGAACAAGATCTGCAAACCTTTGAATAGAGAGACAGTCACCCACCCCCCAACCCTGTTGTCTTTCCTTCATGCCACATGGATCTAGCCAATGAGACACCTGACAAAACTGACATTTTATGGCCTGTGAAAGTTCCTACCTTTTGTTTTAGAGTACGTGGCTTTTTTGCAAATTATTTCTAAATGATATATTTTTATCACTTAGCAGAAAATCCAAATTGGCAGCTAATCTAACCTTTTTAAAGTATATTTTATTGATTATGCTATTATAGCTGTCCCACTTTTTTCTCCCTTTTATTCCCCTCTGCCCTGCACCCTCCCTCCCACCAGCATTGCCCTCCTTAGTTCATGTCCATGGGTCATACATGTAAGTTCTTTGGTTTCTCCATTTCCTATACTATTCTTAACCTTCCCCTGTCTATTTTGTACCTACTATTTATGCTAGTTGTTCCCAGTACCTTTTTCACCCTTCTCCCTGTCCCTGCTGATAACCCTCCATGTGATCTCCATTTCTGTGATTCTTTTCTTGTTTTAGTTGTTTGCTTAGTTTGTTCTTGGTTTTGTTTTTAGGTTCAGTTGGTAGTTGTGAGTTTGTTGTCATTTTACGGTTCATAGATGGGAACTCCTTTGTAGGTAACTCTCTCCTTTTCTCTTGCTGCTTTTAAAATTCTCTCCTTATTTTTAATCTTGGGTAATGTAATTATGATGTGCCTTGGTGTGTGCTTCCTTGGGTCCAACTTCTTTGGGACCCTCTGAGCTTCCTGGACTTTCTGGAAGTCTTATTTCCTTTGTCAGATTGGGGAAGTTCTCTTTCATTATTTTTTCAAATAAAATTTCAATTTCTTGCTCTTCCTTTTCTCCTTCTGGCACCCTTATGATTCGGATGTTGAAACATTTATAGTTATCCCAGAGGTTCCTAAGGCTCTCCTTATCTTTTTGAATTCTTGTTTCTTCATTCTGTTCTGGTTGAATGTTTATTTCTTCCTTCTGTTCCAAATCATTGATTTTGAGTCCCCGTTTCCTTCCCTTCACTGTTGGTTCCCTGTGTATTTTTCTTTATTTCACTTTGCATAGCCTTCACTTTTCCCTCTGTTCTGTGACCATACTCAACCGTTTCTGTGAGCATCCAGATTACCAGTGTTTTGAACTCTGCATCTGATAGGTTGGCTATCTCTTCATCGCTCAGTTGTATTTTTTCTAGAGTTTTGATCTGTTCTTTCATTCGGGCCATATTTCTTTGTTTCAGTGCATCTTTTACATTCGAAGGGGAGGAGCCTTATATATTCACCAGGGCGGGGCAATCCACAGCATTGCATTGCGATGCTGTTTGTGGGGGAGGGGTCAGAGAGGGATATATGTTGCTTGCTCAGTTCTCCTCCCTCTTTCAGTCACTTCCCCTCATTACCCACAAGCAAATTGGACCCTTCTGGTGCTGATTCCTAGGTGGGTGGGTTTGTGTACGTTCTGGGACCCTGTGGGTGTCTCCAGCAGACTCTCCTGTGAGGCCAGGAGTTTATCCTGCCGCGTCAACCCCCACAGATTCCTGCCCCCCACCCCAAGCTGGAACCCTGGGTTGAGCAGTCTTTCTCACTCCCTGGTTGTTCCTCCCAGTTTATCCGCACACAGATGTGGGACTGCCAGGTCCACCAGCTGCCACCTTGTTCACTCAGTCCTCCAGCCGCAGCCTTGCTGTGCATCCTCTCTGTCCTGCTGCCTGTCTCTGCCCCTCCTACTGGCCTGGATGAACGTTTCTTCTTTAACTGCTTGGTTGTCGGACTTCCATACAATTCAATTTTCTGGCAGTTCTGGTTGTTTTTTGTTTTCAAAATTGCCGTCCTTCGTTTGGTTGTGCAAGCAGGCAAACTGTATCTACGTATGCCTCCATCTTGCCCAGAAGTCAATCTAACTTTTTGGCTAAGCCATACCAGACACTGCTTGGTCCCTACATTATTTGAGTCTTTTAAATAATTTCTCTCTAAATAGCAGAGGAAACCTCACTACCTAGTTTCAGTGCCTGGAAGGACAAAATCTCTTGTGAATTTTTATTCCTTTGTTTTGGTAGATTCTTCATGTCCAGTTTCCTCCAAGATAGTACCCAAAATAATTGTAGGAAGGACTTGAGATTTTTGCCTATTTCGAGTGCTTAAAAGAAAGAAATTCTCTAAAAGAGTTGCAAATTTTGGTTAATGAGAACACTGCTTATCTGTTTATAAGGGCAATAGTGGCCTATTCCATTAGTACGTACTCTGAGAAACATGGTAGGGCTGAGTAGGTTTGGACACACTGAGGAAATCACTGCCCTTGGTTGTACTAAACTTCCATAAATGTTAGCTTGCCCAAAAGACTCAGTGAAGAGGAGAAGGCCTCAAAAGTTTGAATGAAAGACAGATAGACCATCACATTTTCTTTGTCTACACTTTAGAAGTTCACCTGGACCCCTACCGGACATGGTGTCCCGTCGCAGACTGCCAGACAGTGTGCTCCATTGGAGCAGGTGACCCAGGACAGCCTGTGCTGGTGGAGTGCCCTTCCTGCCACCTGAAGTTCTGCTCATGTTGTAAGGATGCTTGGCATCCTGAGGTCTCCTGCAGAGAAAGTCAGCCTATCATCTTGCCAACAGAACATGGGTAAGAAGGAAAATGTGGTATTCGGGATTATTTAGTAGTTTCCTCAGAAACATGAAATATGTTGCTTGGAGAAAGAATTATCTTGTGATGGAATTTAGTAAATCATTACTTCCCTGCAGCACTCTGTTAACAAAGAATAAGCCAGAAAGCATCTCTGGAGGGATTTTAGTTATTCATCCCAGAGAGTCTTTCAGATACTGCTGAAATTAGATTTGTATGAATTTTGATTTCTCTTTAGTTAGGGAGTCACATGGTCCCCTGGTTCGCAGTTGGGAGTCAGCTTATCCACAACCATTTGCTTGGGTACCATACCTGCCAACTATTGACATGCCTCATTCTTCGTGCTTGTAAAGTATGCAGAAATTATTTTCTTACCTAACTTAATTGCCAGCTCATGAGGCATGCCGATCATGTCAGAGAGAATACAGCAGCAGAAATAACAGCTCTTCAGTGTAGTACAGTGCTAAATTCATAGGTACTAGAGGAAAAGAGCTTATCTCTTAATACTTTATGCTTTGAAAAGATGGTGCCAAGTTGAGATTTTGTTATGAGGAGAAGCAATTAAATCTGTGCCTTTAAAGCAGGGAGCGCTTTTACGGCAGGAGCAGGGCCCGGAGTGAGAGACCTTTCTGTTTGATCTCTTGCTTTGCTTGAGGCTATGGCTGTTCTACATCAGCAAGAACAGAAATACCAGTGTTGTAGTCCAGTTGGCTTAGTCACCCAGTGCCCGTAGAGTGTGTACAACCATTCTCAGGAACAGTAATGCTACCTGGCCATGCACTGTGATTGAACCTAAGACCGAACAAATCAAGAGGGAAAAAAGATCCTATGCATGTGTCAGGCATGTGCCCTTTTAGCCAATACCTCTTACATTTTCACTGCCACTGCAGGAAGGTCCCTGGGCATCACAGTGCAATGTGAAGATCCCAGAGGGCGAAGGACTGAGTTCCGACATTGTCACTTAGCATCCTGTGCCCTTAAGTCCCTCAGGCCATAGGGGATGTTTCTCTATTTGAGAAAAAGAGAGGAGCTAATTAAAGTAGTAACAGTCCCGTTGCTATTTAAGGTTATTGGGAAGTACCAAATTCTATCATAGTTTTTACAACCCTGAGAAGTTGATGTGTCTGTGTGGGGTGGTGGTTTTGATGACCAGTAGTTAAAGCGCGACCCAGTGCTGTGGCTCACCTGGCCTTCCTCCCACCCTGCTCTCCGCTCTTATTTTCTGTCCCTCTAGCCTGTGACCCTGTATTGGCCTACCCATCCGTTTGGAGTAACTCTTTTCAATGACTTTGGGCATTTACTTTAAAGTATTGATTATAGACTCCCCCCAGCCTCCTCCGTTTATTTATTTGAACAGATCATTAGATGGATTATCTATGTCCCATTAGATCCTGAGCTAGTTTTTCTGCTGTGTAACAGACTTCTTGCACTTTTTATTCAGACAATGTGTGCTCAGGGAAAGAAATACTACTTTGGCAAAACAACAAATTAAATCAACTGTGGAAAATACAATTATATAATTCACTTAAAGCCAAAGATAAATAAATTAAGATCTTTTTTGTTTTGAGCTATCTGAGTAACTAATCATCTCTGTCTCTCCTGTTTCCCCACCCTTTTCCCTGGGGTTGAATTAAGCACAGATAACAAAGAGTTCACAACCTACCCATCAGGAGCCATAGGAATTCTACTGATGACCATAAAATTAAGTCTAGAAGAGCATTATTTAACTATTCATTATTTTCTGCCCACTCTTACCAGAGCTCTGGTTAGTGTACACCTTTGTGGTTCTAGCTTTTTTAAATAAAATCAGGCGGCATTCTCCATCCTCACCATGTCATTTCTCATCTGCTTTGTTTCTAGGGCCCTCTTCGGGACAGATGCAGACGCCCCCATTAAGCAGTGCCCAGTTTGCCGGGTTTATATCGAACGCAATGAAGGCTGTGCGCAGATGATGTGCAAGAACTGCAAGCACACGTTTTGCTGGTACTGTCTCCAGAACCTGGATGTAAGTTCCATGTGGAAGACACTTTCTAGAGTCGTCTTTTCTCTGTACTGTACCAGTGTACCAGCCAGTGTGCTACCGTGTGCTTTCCTTTCAAAATCTTGAGCCTGTTTTTGCCCTGCCAAAGAATTTATTTTTCTTAATGAGACTTCCTGAGCCTGTTACTTTAGATAGCCATAAAACCTCTCTTTGATTGCCTTAGGTGTGTCACCTTAGCTTTAAAGGCAAGTGTTTGTTTTACAGACATTTCCTGCTTTGGGGCATTGTCTCATTCCTTTGTGTAAAGGACTGTTAGTGTATTAGTTTTATGTTGCTATTGTAACAAACAACCACAAACGTTTGCTTAAAACGACACAATTTTATTATCTTTAGCTCTGTACATTAGAAATCTAATGTGAATCTCACTGGGTTAAAATCGAGGTGTGCTCAGGACTACTCCCCCGCCCCCCCCCCCCCCCCCGCCCCCATCCCCACCCCTGCCCCCTGGAAGCTCTAGGACAGAATCCATTCCTTGGCCTTTTCCAGCTTTTTGAGGCTGCCTACATTCCTTGGCTTGTGGCCTCTTTCTCTGTCTTCAAAGTCAGCAGCACCACAGCTCTCTGACCCTTCTTTCATAGTCATAGCTTCCTGAGTCATTCCCTCTGACCACAGCTGGGAAGGCTTCTCTGAGATTAGATTGAGCCCATCTGGGCAATACAGGAGAATCTCTCCCATCTCAAGGCCTTACAGTTTGTCATACTTACAACATTCTCACAAGTTGTGGGGAAAAACCATGGGCATCGTTAGGGGAGCCATTACCCTGCCTACCACAATTAGGTTGCTTTCCTCTTTTTGAATTTAAATAAAAAAGGCATTCAAATCAGTTCAGTGATGTCTCTCAAATAACTCATTCATTGGCATGACAGAGGTGTTGCTCCTGTTTTGTCAGGGCTCTCTTCTAGATAAAGAGATCTGGTCTCACTGTTCTTTTTCCTAACCATTCATGAAGGATGTCTTCTCAAATTCAGGTGTAGTTTCATTCAGTCCAGCGCTAAGGCTGCTAATGGTAACGTCCGAGTTAAAAGGTGGTGTGAAGGATTATTGGGAATTCATTCTACTGTTTTCAGTTACAGTGTTTTAAAGTTTGAGCTAGCCTAAGTTTATAGGTATTTTCTCTTTTGGCACTTTGGGCCAATAAAATGTGTCCATATCAGTGTAAGCCCTCAGTCATGGGTGGTCATTGTTTTCTCAGCTCTCCATTTTGATTGTCCAGTTTGCTTCAGTTCAATAAGCGAGTCTTGTAGTGCCTTAATATCATACACAATTGGAAAACGAATGTGCATTTAACATGGGGAGCGTGCTGGCCACCATGGGCCTGATTTTTAACTGAAAATTTGATAAGTTGTCTATGCTGTGACATCTATGAGTAAGAACCTTAATCAATTTCATGTCCGTGTTTCAAGAAGAGGTATAAATTGGGGAGAAAAAGATTGACATTTTAGAAGCTTAGCAGCTTGGGTTGAAAGAAATGTTTTCATTCTTTTAAAAAATTCTATTATAATCCTTGAATTACACTTATGTTTGATAGTTGAGACCTCTCATAATTCTAAGTGAGTAATATTCTAGATGAGGATTTGACAGATTGTACACCCTTCATGCTTTACAATAGGAAGAAATCGTTTTTCATTTTCTTCCAGGTTTAACCAGAGTAGTATTAGTTGGATTCAGATCCACAAGCAGGCTGAGCCCATGAGGTTCTTTTAAGGAAGCAGGAGTGTAAGGGATAAATATGTGTGCCAGATCCGCCCATCCCCTGGCGGAAATGTGTTTGTGGTATGGACTTGCAAAGAACACACTGTTCTGTCACTTGTATTGTTCTGGGACTCGAGATGAAATGGTACAGATGAAATGAGATGCTAGGTGGCTGGATACACAGCATCTTTGTATGGTCATTGTTTTCTGAGACCTCATTTTCTCGGTTTTAGCCAGGGGCATTGGCTTTTTGGTAATGATTTTTTTTCTGTAGACAAGTGTTCTATGTCAGATGGTGGGATTGATCCCTGTTTACAGGAAAGTTTTAGAGCATGGGTCTGGGAGAAGGGCGTTGTCCAAAAGCCAGGCCTGAGATAGACACCAAACAGAGTGATTCTGAGTTTTGAATGTGTTCCTGCCTTGAACCTCGGACCTGCTCTTTCAGAGGATGAAGTATTCTTTTGGGGGCGGGGGGGTGCAGGGGGTAAGTGTTTACTAAACCCAGCTTTTAAGTGACATCTACCTACAGTCTGTAAACAAGTACAGTAAACATGTAGGTAAAAGCCTCTTAGATTAGAATTAATGGAAAAACTAAGGAGCCCTTGGTACACTGGCACCTCACTGCCCCTTGGGCCGATGCCATGGGGCCACATTATAGTTTGAATTCGATGAAAAACCAGAAGGAGTTTAGCTCAACTCCACCTGCTAGGATGAATTTCAAGACAGATAATTTTTCCACTTAATAGGAGATTGGGTTATAGCAAGGCAACAGTGTAGTTTTTACATTCACAGATTAGCTGAATAGTACAAATAAACATCTCTTCTGGATGTCTCCCTCCCTGTTACCATAATTAGTAAGAGATGATAGACCACAGGTGGTTGCAAAGAAAGATAACACACAGAATAATAAATGTCTACAGTTAGCAGAGCACAAACTTATAAAATTTGTCTTTTTCCGTAATGTGCAGAATATCAGAAGTATGTTCAACAGGTACAGTCAGCAGACCTCAGAGTGGTAAGAGAGCATTTGTAAAGAAAAAGCACTCAAGTACAAAACCCAGAGCAGGAAGCTGAATACAGATGAGAACACACAGAAGACAGAATCCTAATTCTTTACCTCTCACTATCCTACTTAAGGGATTCCCGCAATTAGTTTACTGCCATTTATGTATCTTAAAAAGTAACACTCTGTTACCTATGCACAAACTTTAAGAAAGATTAATCACAATCATGAGACAAGCAAAAACTGATTAACTTAATAGTAGCACTAAAATCAATGAAGCTTGCAGCATTTTATGTGCTTTCATATATACTTTTGTGGATGGGGCTTTATCATGACCCCAAATTGTTTTGATAGAGTTTTTAAAATTCTCACAAAAAATCTGTTTTATAATCATTTCAGATATAGAGGGAAAAAGTCCCGAAGTAGAAAATGAAAAAGGTCAAAATCTCACAGTGACTGAAAATCCATGAATATATAAGTGATATTCATATATTCCCTTAACACTTTTATCAGGTGCTATGTAAGGTAATTGTAATGTTGTCCTGAAACCAATCTCATTTAAAAAGATACAGTAATGCTTATTCTAATTCTAGAATTAAAAGCACTTATTCCATATAATGTGTGTTTCAGCGAGGTTCACATCTACTTGATTGTACTTGTTGGTGTCACCTTGAAGCTTTATCAAAGCTTTATGGCAGACCTGAACTTTAAAAGTTCAGAACTAACACTACCACAGACAGTTACTCATTTCAGTTTATTATAGGAAGTGAAGGATATACTTGAGTTGTCCGAAAGTCACTTCAGCCTAGAACAGTATCCCTTGGAAACTGTAACCCTTAAAGGTGTTTGGGACTCACTAGGTCAAATAAACAGGTTCCACTGCCACACTAACATACACTGTATACCTTCAAGATGCAACTTTTCCTAAACTCACTTGACCTTGCCAGAGAATACCCAGAATCACCACTGGTTCTCAGGGCACTGGTTTTTTATGGAACGCTGTTTGAGAAATGTCATTCTAAAGTAAATTTTCTAAAGTAGTGTCTCTAAAATCATATTGAACATCAGAAACACATGAAAGGTGTGTTAAAGGGTAGATACCATACCCCACCTTAGAGGTCTGCAGTGGGACCTGGGAACCTGCATTTCTAAGCCACTCCAAGTGATGCTGATGGAGTGAGGACCACACTTTGAATGGTGTTTGTCTAGACAACGCCCTGCACAAAGCTCAGCTGCAGGAGACCCTCCTGTGGCCCCAGGAAAGGTTGCATATGGCATGTGCCACAGCTGGCTGGTGAGATCAGCCCAATGACGTCTGAGAAGGCCCCGGGGCACCTTGGTGGGTTGGAGGAGCACTCGACTCCTGGTTCTGCCCCTCCTCACTGGGTGACCAGGCACAATGATTGCATCTTAAAAGAAGAATAATAGTGGCCCTGTCTCAAGGGACCTGTGAAGCATAAAGGAAACTACCTAACAAAAAAGCATCATACAAGTGTTGTTAATCAGAAGAATGTGTCCGTTACAGCAGGAAAATCCCAGATGAGTTTTCTGTCTTCTGCAACTGCTAAGCCTTTATGAAAGCACATTCTGGCTGCTAGGAAGAGAAAAGAGGCTAAATACAAAGAAAACTGCAGTGAGAGGAAGATACTTAGTGGGTTACTTAATTAAAAATTTCTAATTGTTAAAAATAGATCAACTCACAAAGCCCTTAATTATGCTGGCTTTGAGATAGTTTTTCAAAGTTATAGTCTGTTGATCTTTGAACACACTCGCTGGTCTATTTTACCATGTTATTAATGCTGGTTAAATTTTAACATCAAGAGAATGTGGAAAAAAAAATTCCTCCACTCAGATACATGTGAATCAGATCTAAAAAATTTAGCTGATATAGTTCCAATCTTATAAGCTACCACTGTGAGAGGGTGAGGCATTCTCAATCTTCTGCCTTGGGCACTCCGGCGATCTGTACCCTTCAGTTGTCTTTCCTCTCTCCTCTGACTTCAACTTCTCTCCACTCTAGTCTCTATCTGCATTCAGCTGTGTCTCATTTAAAAATGAGTTAACACTTTCCTCAAAACCTACATCTTTCCCTTACTGCCCTTCTATTTCTCTTCTCCCTTTAGCAGCAAAGCCTCAGTAAAACATAATCACCTGTAGCTGTTGACACTTACCTCCAGTCGTTGCTGTGTGCTCATATTGTCATTTAGTCACCCCCTGACTGTATTCTTCTGAGGCTTCAAGTGATTTATTTTGGGTAAAATCCAAGGGACACTTCTCATCTTACCTAGATTCCCTGCTGCCTTTGGTATCTTGACCACCTCCATTTCAGTGATTCCATTTCTTCAGGTTTCCCTTCTATGTTTCTGGCCACTTCTCAGTTTCTTTCCCAGACTCCTCCTTGACCCATTCTTATGTCTGTGTTCAACAGCTTGTGTGCCTCTCAGTCTGTGTTCTCCCTAGGATCTCATTTACTTCTGTGGTTTCTTCTACCCTATGCATGCTGATTCCCAAACCATTTTCCCCAAATCCCCATATATGTAACCAGCTGCCTTTTGAACAGTACTACTTGGAAGTCATATGTATCTCTCAAGTTCCACTTGTCCAAACTGGTCGTCACTTCCCAACAAAATCCATGTCCATGTTGTTGTTTTTCTTAACAAAACAATTACCTTTTACCCCAGGACTTCCACCTAATCTGATTTCTCCTTATTTTGCCACCTGGTTAGTTACCTTCTTAATATCTCATGACTGTATTTTCCTCTTCTCCATGCCAGCCACTGGCATTTTATCACCTTGTTTACCACAGCTACCTTCCAGCTGCCTTACTTGCGGTCCTCTCATTTCATATCATACCTTGAAGATAATTGGTCAGGCTGTTATCTCTTTTAGACGCAGTCAAGAGTTTCATTGGTTAGGATCTGTTTTCACTTGGTGATATATAAAAATACTAAGATAAAGTCTAAAGATCATGGGTTTGGAATTCCTAGAGGCTGTTATGAATATCCCTAGAAAGCCTTTGCTTCCACTAAGGTGATCTGATGTGGTTAATGTCCATCTCTCAATTCAAAATGTTTCTGAAAACCTTTCTCTTTGTTTTTCAGAGCGACATTTTCCTCAGACATTATGACAAAGGGCCATGTAGGAATAAGCTTGGCCATTCAAGAGCCTCAGTGATATGGAACCGAACGCAGGTACCCTGACCTTAAAAGGCGAATGAGATAAACTAGACATAGGATGGCTTCAAAAGCCCACCTGTCCATCCTCCCCATTTACTCCTGTTACCCATCTTAGCCTGGGAGGCTCTGGGAGCGCTGGGGGAGGGCTGGGGAAAAGTAATGGAGCAATTGCCTGGACTTGATTGATGAGCACAGTGCTCTTGAGGGTTAGTGGAGGGGCAGGGCACCAGAGCGGCCAAATAATTAAGAGGGACTTACAGAATGAGGGCAGATGCCCTTTCCTCCTGAAGGAAATGGTGGATTGGCTTTCCTAAAGCCCTGCATGGCATGTTTGCTATGAAAGGCAGCGCTCTCAAACCTGATAAGCCCCCGCTGGGGCTTGGATCCCTCTGTACATGCCATTGTATGTTTATGTAGCAGGTTCAAAGGGAGTCCTGGTTTATTTTTAATAGTGTTTCATATTTATTAAAGGCCATGTTCCTTTTGCGAGGAGTCAGTGTTAATAGCCTAGTAATTATTATTAACATCCCTCTGAGACTGTTGAGGAAACTCAGGTAGAGAGAGAGCCAACACCAACATTTCATGATTATACTGAGCTCGTGCCAGAGCCTGAGTTAGCATTTGGTTTGTTCTTCTCACTTTGATTTAGTCTTTGGTATTGTCCTGGTTTATTCAGTTCAGACCATTGTTGAGGACTGGAGAAAAGGTCCCATAATTGTGACTGTTTTATGTGCCTGAGCTGGTGTCTTAGTTCAGGCTGCTATACCAAATTACCATAGACTGGGAGGCTTAAACAGCAGAAGTTTATTTCTCACGGATCTGGAGACTGGAAGTTCAAGGTCAGGCTGCCAGCAGGATTGGGGACAGGTTCTGGACTTGTTGGTTTACAGATGGCCATCTTCTCATTGTGTCTCACATGGCAGAGGGTCAAGAGAAGCGGCAGGCTCTCTGGCGTCTCTTCTTATGAGGGCTCCGTTCCCTTCACGAGGGCCTCACATCATCATATTGGGAATTAGGTTTTCAGCATGCACTTGTGTGTGTGTGTGTTGGGCATTGGCGGGGGTTGGGGTGGGCACAAGCATTCAGTCCATAGCTGATGGTGTAGTATACATACAGGAAGACTTAACTGCTAAACTCGTTTTCTTTTTTTTCTAAATTTCCAGGTGGTTGGGATTCTTGTGGGCTTGGGCATCATCGCCTTGGTGACTTCACCCTTGTTGCTTCTGGCTTCCCCGTGTATAATCTGTTGTGTCTGCAAGTCCTGCCGGGGCAAGAAGAAAAAGCATGACCCATCCACAACCTAAAGATCTCTGTCTCTCTTTGTGTCTGTGTGCCACACATGTCTTTTACATACAAGACAACAAAGTGATAAAGTCCCACTTAGTGAACTTGCCTCCTTTTTCTTGCCAAATTTTGGAAGTGCCTCTGTGTCCAGACTTGCCTGCCTGCCTGGGGCATCAGCAAAGGCCAGGCAGTGGTGTGTGTGTTCCTATGTAAAGACAATCGGTTCTGCAGTCCAGGTTGTGTCTGTGGAGCACGTCAGAAGCTTCGGGTTCCTGGGAAGGAGCTAACACATCATCGTTTTATCATCTGAAAGATCCCACTGGACTGTTCAACTTCCAGCCAGATTCAAGGAGCCTGAGTGAATGAACATTCAATATAATAAAGGTGTTGTCGTGGTTGGCAATATACATGATCACTGAGAAGCTCAAGTGCTGTTTGCTGTTTGACTACCATGGGAAACATGGGGGAAAACCCATGGATAAGACTGTTTTGGGGAATACTTTCACAATGGTGATAAAGCAGGCTGCTTATCTTAGGAGTCAGTGTGGTGGCTCTGCCCCTGCCAGCTACTGGGTGTGCTTTCCCAGCATTCCCACAGTGAGTTGGCAGAAACACAATGGGTTTCTCCCTGTGTGATCCCAGCTTCAAGCAGGAGAAACTTCTGTGCAGAGGAAATTGTCCTTTCCCAGTAAAAGGGTTTCGACATCTAAAACAATATGGTCTAACTTAGCCTCTCTCTCGGCAAGTGTTAACTTTTTTAAGGTGATAAACCCTTCTCCTGTAGCCGGTAGCTGCTGTCTACAAGCTTATTTTACAAGAAGGATTTGGGTGCAGTGGCAGAAGTTCAAAACCTTCATCATAGATAACAGGGACCTTTCTTAGCTGTGTTCATGCACCCAACGGATGTGGAATTAGACCTCCAGGTACACACCACGCCCGTTGGTTCATCTAGAACCCGTATAACTTGCTGCCTACCTAGAATTTCTATCCATTGGCATGCCTGGGTATAAATACAAAAGCATAGTGAGTACTATTGCACACAATAGTACAACACACAAATGTTTATGTAAAATCCAGTCTATATTTCCTTCTGTGACTAATACTGTTTATTATAAATCAACCTACATATTTTGTGCATATTATATATGTAAATTTTGGTTACAAGTTCTTAACTTACCCAAGTACAGACTCATAAACTTTAGTAACTTTTTAAAAAGGATACTTAGTACTCTCATCTCAGTTTGTAAAAACACTGATTGATAATCACATTATTTATGTATTTTCAAACACAATTCAGAGCAGCTGTCTTCTCAGCAGAGTTTAGTATCTGTTAGGGCAATCTGAATTCTGTATGCAAAAGGCACTGATAAAACAACAAAAATATAATAGAAATAAAATGTAAAAGCATTATATATATATATTCAGTAGTTTTGATTTGTATACCCTCATTGTGACTTATTTTTCCCATTCTATCATTAGTCAGATTTTGAATAAACGGGTTTTGAAAAGACAATGACTGTTTCTCCAATGACAGGATGATATAACTGCCACTAGCAATGTAGCCTGGTGCCTCGTGAGAACTGTGCTAAGTGTTAACAGAGCGCTCTCCATGAAGCCGAGGGTAAAGTATAAGGAACTATCAGGAACTATGATATATTCTGAGGTAACTGGATAACTAGATTATTAAATTGCTGCTATCCTGGACCTATTATTAAAGGATAATGCTTTGCCTATGTAATGGAATGTATCCTAAGTGGGGATTGTGTATATTTAAGGAACTTTAATTCATACATATTGATATATGTATATTACTTTTGGTCATGTATATTTTTATTTACAGTTTGTATAGAACATTGATGAGAACTCTGGGAACACTTTTGAATGGCAGCCAACCAAAAACCTTTTTAATCATTTATTAGAAATTTATCAATATTGTGTCTTTATTTTCTTTCGAAACTCAAAACAGAAAAAAAATCAATACTCTTTATCAATGTATTTCATATTAGTATAAATTTAAGTGTATATATATATATTTGAATAATTTGCCTTGTCTTACACTGCCTCATCGTAGTTAAAGGCATTTGTAACTGCTCAGGGGATCATAGCAACTCAACCGTACTGACTTTTTGTATCAAGAATGTCAGTAGTTGCAATGTACTACTCAATTAGCAAACTCTGGAACCTTGGTTCCACAAAGATTCATAAAAGAGTGGCTGATTTCAAGTTACGTAACGGCTGTGTTATCAAAGGTGGAGCTCCTGAATGTGGAGTAAAAGTGGAAGAAAACATCTACGTTATTTTCTTGAAAAATAAGTGGAAGGGACTTGCCTTCTCACAGGAACACTGTTATAATAGAATTGGCTCCTTTTCTTTCATAGGGGATAACTAGTAGGGGTTGTTTGTCAAACAGATTTAAAATAGTAGTGTTTAAGTCTTTAAATTTGGAAAAGTACCTGGAACACGGTGCTGCTTCCTTAAATAGCTAGATGAGTTGGCCTCTGTGAAACTGTCAGAATCAACAGGACAGATTGGTAGGTGAAACCCAAGTATATTTCTGATGCATCAAGGGCCAAGATATAAGCCAACCAAGAAAATTTGTTTGCACAGGAGAGAGCTGACAACTTTGATAACGGGCTGGTGTTACCATTTTGGATAACTGGCTGGTGGAAGGGTTTAACCTTGTCTCTTCCCTCTGTCAGCTTTATTCTTTCCTAGTGATTCTCATTCTGTCCTAGGAAGAAATCTGGGTCTACACGATAATGTTTGGATTTTTTGGGAAAATCTTTTTGTGTTCGGAGTGGTAGAGTGTAGTCCATTTGGAATAGGAATTGAAAAGTCCTTCACCAAAATTGTAATCTGGGTGTAATAACTTACCATCCAGAAACACTGCTGGATGTAATGGCGTAACATCTAGCCCTTGCCCCTTCTAGGAATTTTTCCCTTGTTCTTGGGGAGGGAGGTGAGGAAGAAAGTCACATCGAGGCAAGTTTTAGAATCTTAGGCATCCTGTTTGTTCATGCCGTGGATGTTTGCTCTGGACTCGAAATCTCTTTTGAAGGAGGTCTTTGAAAATTGAGTAATTCACAGTGTGAATTTTCTTACAGCCTGGATCACAAAAAATTTTACCTATCCAAGTCTGAAAAATCTAAATTCTTATTTGGATGTAAAGCCCTCTCTCCTGGAACCCCAAATTTGTCTCTTAAATCTTATTCAATTTTTATTCAGAATTGAAATGTGTACGTATTACTTTAACCTTCCCTGAAACTGCGTCTAAAATACTTTCTGTTCATGAATGGATGCCTTTATGTGTGTAGATCATTAACATATATGTACCTTCAGAAACAATTTCAGAAGCCTTAGATGAAGTGAGGTTTTATAAAGCTGTCACAACTGATATCTATAGGCTATTGCATTGTATGTCGATTCATGATCCAGAAAGTTTTGTTATATATTTAAGTTTTGTTATGTGTCATATTTTTTCAATTATTTGAGAGAAAAATAGCTGTTTTAGTCTCTGTAGCCCCAATAAATATGGAGCAGGAAATTAAGTGTGCTAACTCTTGTTGCGCTGCATGTTTTTAGATATGTTCAATTTTATCCTCTAAGAGCCAACCAAGTCACTGTTAAATCCTAGACTCAGAATTAACAAAGCATGCAAACCTGCAGTACTGTTTATGGAAGTAACTCTTGCTACCTTGTGTCTTCAAAGAAATGGGAGCAAATGCCGGGCCTTCACTTGCTGCAGGCTTTCTTCTTGTACGTGTGACACTCCACACTGCCAGTGCACAGGCATTGGTGGTTAGCTAGAGAGAGAACCAGTAATTTAGGCCGTTGATCATTCTAATAAAAACGCTACCAGGCATCAAAGCCATTAGTTCTGTAAAACATGGATTGGACTACATGCTCTCAGGTCAGTTCTAACCATCCAAAAGCTTATTAGAGGAATGTGTTTCCTTGTTATGATTTTCTTAAGAAAGGAAGCGTTACCTTAAGCTCATTTCCATTTGATTAGTATTCAAGGCCGGACTCCTCTACAGTGGAGTGCCAGAAGTTGGTTAACAACTAGGACTTGTGTTTCTGCAAAACTGAAAGCTCGCATTCGTATACTGGTGTTGATGCCTTTTAATTGAATATTATATGCTACTATACCCGAGTACAAAGGCTTATAACTGAATAACAGATTGAAATTTTATTTTCTAATCTTTCAGTTTTGAGGAAATCAATAACATCATTTTAAAACATTTTGGATTATGGTTTTTTAATTTACTTAATCATCTCCTAGAATGTCAAGATTATTTCATTTTTTGAGTGTGGTTTTTGTTTGCTAAACTTAAATTTGCATTCTGAAAGAATTTTTGAGTGAATCATTTTATACAGCAGTGATTTTAGGCAATGCCTGACCAGCAAGACTTATCACAGTGTAAATTATGAATCCAGTGAATTTTGGGAATTACAACTAGGGTTTTCTGTAATTCAGTTATTTCCATTTATTAGATAATAAATCTAGGGTGTTTTTTTTTAAAAAGAAAACAACCCAAAAGATAGTATACAACTCTACATTATGAGAAAAAAAATTGTCTTCAAATAATTTAATAGCAATTATAATGTTTTTAATATATTTATTAATATATTCTTTAAAGAACTTTGAGAACAGTTCTATGAGATAAATGGAACAGATCCTTTTCACGGAGAAAGCGATGGTTTTGTGTTGTCTTGCCAAGGGTCGCACTCTCACGAGTGGCAGCCAGAAGAGGAACGCCAGACTGCTTGAAGGTGCTCGAATGCTCTTACGTTGGTCAGTAATTCTGAGCCTGCTTTCGCTCCCGTATCTGAGTCCCAAGAGAATGTACTTCCCTCTTGGTTATTTGCATCAGTGGAAGTATGTGTAAGAGAATAACTTATTATTTTGAAAAATCACTTCAACGCTGTGTTTTGGTGTGCCTGGCAGTGTGCTGAGGTTGGAGGGTCCCTCCTGAGATCGAACCCGGTCGCCCCCTGGGGTTCAGCCAGAGAAGGGCGGGAGATGGAAGGTGATTCATTAACTAACTGTATCTGACTGGCTAATACTGGAACTAGAATCAGATTTACTTCAAATGCCAAAATGTTTGCTTCTTCCACACAAGTACAAAGTACATTCTCACAGGTTCCTTTTAATGTTTACAAACCAAGCTCAAAGCAATTGTTAATGCAGATCCAAATCCTTTCTTATTAATGTTTAGCAGCTTGTACTCTGATGTGTATTTCTGCCCAATCACCAAATAAATCAACCAAGTGACAGTTTTAACAGCAAGAAATGAGGCCCTAAAGAATGAACTAGCAGAATGAATTTCTTATACATGTAAGAAATATAATTTCATATTTACGATATATATGAAATTCGTTCTGGAAGTTCATATTATTTGTGTGTGTGTGTTTATATTTGAGTTCCATTTTCTGCTTTTATGTTTTTCAATTTTATCAGTTCCCTTTTTGTATGTTAAAACTACAATTTGGGCTTTTGATGAGAAGGAAATTAATGTTATTTTATTTTGTAGATTTTTAATGATCAGGCATGGTTCGAATTGTATATTTTCTTTTGAGGGGAGTGGATGGTTAGTTAACATTAATGCTATTGAGCATATTTGCATAAAATAAACATAAAGGTTTTCTTGAGGTGAGTTATGGGACTTTTGATTATTGATCAACCTGGCCTTACTTTTTAAATCCAAGCCACTTGGTTTAACTAAAAGCAAACAAGTCCAGAAATCCACACACCACCCTGCATGGTGTGTCCCAAATTCTAGCCTGGCCCTGGGACTTTGGCACCACAAGGGCACATGAACGGAGTGTTGGGAGAGGGTTGGCAAATCTGGTGTCACCTGGGGCACAGAACAAGCGGGGAGCGTCCTCTGTTCTCCCTGCCCTCTCCTACCCCGAGTGTGTGCGAGGGGGCTGGGAGGTGGAGGGGGCGGGCAGACGCCAGCTTGCAATTAGATGACTTCAGTTCCAGGCCTGACCTTGCTCTTGACCGGTTGTGTGGTCCAGGGCCAGCCATCTATCATACACCATCATTTCATCCATCTTAGCTCTGGCTTAGAAGGAGCGGATGAGATCATAGATGTCGAAGTACTTCTTAGTGTTGTTTGTCAGGAGGTGGAGGAGCGGAAGTGTCGCAGTACTGTAGGACATTGTGCTGTGTGTGCCACGGCTGTGCGTGTGGGCACGAGTTTTCAGCCAGACACTGATCCCAAAGGAGAAGAGGGGGGCTTATAGATTTCAAACTTATAAAAGTGTGTTGAGAGAGGAATGAGCGCAGTAAATACATTGTCCTTTTAGATTTAAAAATGTCTTCATGTTGCTTTTTCACAAAGCAGTATTTCACAAATATTTAGCTAATTTTATGCTCAATTAAAATGGAGGATGTGTGGAGAAAAAAATGCAGAATTCCTATCAACACAATGACATTTGGGGAGGCAGAGGTTTTTTTATAAAAACTTGCATTTACGTGATGCCATATGGTGTGTGTGAAGTACATTCCCATTTCCTTTTGCTTTTAAAATTACTCTAGAAACTAGCTGTCCGTGTGCCCCTCCCCCAATTTACAGATGGGAGATGAGATTCAGGGACTAGGTGACGTGACACAAGGTCATGCAAGGGGTTAGTGGCAAAGCTAGAATGTCAGCGTATGTGTTGTGTGAGTATTATTTTAATTTTCTTTTGAAGTGGCTTGAAACAACACATTTATTAACCTCAGTTTCTGTGCACCAGAAGTTTGGCCCACTTTTATCTTTGTTCTCTCTCCCAGTCTGAGTGCCTTTCCAGCTTCTTCCAGCAAAGCCCTCCTAAGAA